TCAGAGACTTCCAAGAAGCCGATTTATCCCAACGCAGGAATTAGTAGCAAAAAGAGAAATAAAGGATAAGTTAAATGTCTCAGGTCGATACACGTGACATTTCTATAAAACGAAAAGGTCTAAGTTGGAATACCAAGCGACTTTCAATTATTTTTTACGCTCTTCAGGTGAGTTTACGATTGTTTTTAACATTTATTTACTTTCACAAATCAGCCCCATCGATGGACTGTTTCATTCAATTTCAATTTATTGAAGGCATCGTGTCCATTAGGTCAATTTCTAATGGATTAATAATGAATAACCCTATAAGTGACAAATTATTCAGAACATTGCTCACCGTTAAGAATGTTAGGGAGATGGGAATGCCCCCAGCTAAGTCATACGCCTGTGGAAACGCAAGAAGACTAGCTCCGAGTCCAGCATTGACAGTAAGCAAAACAGCCGCATACCAAGATGTGCCTGAAGATAGAATAAAAAGCTATATTACCTACCTTTGGGTCTAGTGACCACGTGTACTTCACTCTCGTTGGAGTCTACTAGTTCGCGGTGTGGTGAATCAAATTGTGAGTCGTCTGTTTTCATCGGCTGTGAAGCATGACAAGAATAAGGGTAATTGTAAGAGATTGGCCGAAAAAAATGGTGGTCCACCGCAAGAAAAGAAAAGTCCAATGGGAAACGTACAGCATCATTTTCAACTCTGGACTGATAAGGAAATTTGTGAAATCATAGGCGATCAATATTTATAGGGTGGACACAGACTATAAGTAGCTAAAATGCGTGACTCTTGTTACATGCTGTTTCTATACCTCCAATGACCACTTTCCACACCAGTGTTCTTTATTACACACTTTCGTGTGATGAACAGCAGACGGGGTAAACCCCATAGTCACAAAGACCTGCTGTTCGGTGATGGAAACCGGTAACCTAAGCCCCGGGACTTGAAGTGGTGACCCACATAAGGCCCCGATAGGTTACGTGCGGTACTGAACCGGAAGACAGCAAAGCTGCTTACCACTAAAGTTGGGTGGTGGTGGTGGGGCTCGAACCTCGGACCACAGGGTTTAAAGCATGCCGGTGACAGCAATTAAACCACTGCGCCACCACCACCCATAAAAGATGACGCAGACTTAAATCCACTGAGTACAAAAAGGGGAACACGGGAAACTATCCACAAAGAATTGTTTTTATTGTTTCAGCACTCTTTAAGCTTTTTCAGCTGTTTTGTTTTCCATTTTATAGGGTTGCAGGGGCGGATGTGGATAGGAGGAAGCCAGGTGTCCAAGCAGCTGGATTTGTGAGACTGAGCTTTGTCTGGCCTCTACCCGTTGACCTTTCAGGCATGATTGGATCCACGGCTGTGAAAAGCCGTCCTGTATAGCTCGCAGGGTCACGGAGGCACGCAAGCCATTACACCACGCCAAGGTGCAGTCTCATCGAGATGGAAATTCTACAACCTTGTCTGTGGATACGGTATGTGGACGATACATTCGTCATACTCAGAGCCTCCATGGTAGATCAGTTCCACCAAATAATCAACGAGCAGGTGCCTGGTATCACCTTCACACGAGAGGAAGAAAAAGATGGACAACTCTCCTTCCTCGACACCCTTCTAATTAAACAACTTGGCAGAAGAATCGCAACCACGGTCTACCGAAAACCGACCACGACAGAACGCATCCTCAACTACTACAGCAACCACCATTAGTGCCACCTAAAACGTTGTGTGCGAACTCTATTCCGCGGATCAAGCTCACATTGTAGCACACCGGAGTTAAGGGAAAGAGAAGGAAGTCGACTCTTTCAATTATATATTATATTTCACACTTGTCTGAGGACAGACTGTGAGCCAAGAAAATCTTGGTACAATGATCTTTATAAAAAAGAAAATGGTCCATAATGGTTTGTGGGCTGAATACTGCCAGGTTGTCCAGGCCAAGGCAGGTGAATTTTCTTGAGGAATCCACAACCAAAGCCTTTGGCTAGCAAAAGCCTGACCCGCAAGGCAGTGGGGGCGGTGTGTGAGAACCACAGTTCATTGGGAGCCGGTGTCCAGTTCATCGGATCATACGCCTGTCGGAAGGGGTCAGACGACCAAGGTGCCCAATACACCTCGAAGCCCAATTGAACCGGTGACCTTTGCCACAGCCATCAAGGCGTGGGTGTGGTTCGTAGGCCTCCTCTTGGTTGGTTTGGAATCAGGGTTTTCAGCCAGCTCCCATAGGTGAACTCACCAATCGGGTTATAGCCCCAGATGTAGGCTTTCCGTCCTCACTTTGGTGAGAAAACACCTGCGTCATGAGAATGCAGTGAGCAGGGCTTCCTCATCATCATCATCATCATCATCATCATCCGAATCATCATCCGAATCATCATCCGAATCA